GCTACAGCTGATATATATTTGTTGTCAAAATACCTTTTAGTACATATGTTGTTAAAATAAAATGAACAGTCCATTGATCATTTTACTGATATGTATAAAGACTGCAAAGGCTGAAAAATCTTGAAGTCTGTTTGAAATTGGAGGTAGTTTGAGGTTTGAGGATTAAAATTTTTATGCTTRTTAGGCTCAAAAAATGGGGGTCGTATTATACATGAGATCGAATTATACATGAATAAATACGGTAAGTTTCCAGCGTACGTATGGGACGTATAACAATGTGAAGGAGAAGAGGTTACAAATGCTTTAAAAAGCCTTTTTTAAGGGTATATTTTCATAGCAGCGCTCCTCTTGAAGGAGGAGCAAGGCTTTTCTGGCCATCAAACAAAAACCCAAGTTGAACTAATGAGTTGTTTCGTGGCCCCTTGGAGCTGAAATAAGTTGTATTTTTACAAACAGGGCGTCCGCTTTTGTGAAACATCAAAGTATCAGGATGCGACTTGCGCTACTCGCAGCCCAGTGGGTCTTAAATTGTGATGATTTTGATTTGTTTTGTTGCAGTGTACATAGAATAAAAGCACTGATTTGGGGCTGTCGCCAAAGAAGCTGAACGAAAATGATAAGGAAAAAAAAACTTGCTGTTGCTTTTTGTTTTCTTTGCCAAACATGTGGAAAACTGGAAAATTCAGCATGTGCTGACATACTGTTGCATAAATTGCATCTGTTATTGGATTTTTTTTAATGTGTAAGTGTGTGTGTCGATGTGTAAAGGTGTGTTTGGCTAATGCTTTTAAATCTGTTCAGTCGTCCTGTTGTTGCAGGAAGGATTGCGTGTCCCAGCGCTCATAAGATAAGCCAGTTTGGAGTCTGTGTTCACACCCTAGGTGGATAGGATGGTATGGAGAGAAAAGGCGAATCAGTGATCAAAAGCATGTTTTGCAAGTATCTGTTTGGAAAATGCAAACATCTCTGGTGCCTCCTGGAGCCTAAATGAATGAAGGTTTTTCTCTGGCTCTTCTCTAATCACTGTGCAAATGTGTGACAGCAAAGCTGCTGAAAGGGCATATGCAGCCTCCTTTTAACTGTGTTCACAGAGTGAACAGGGCTTGTGATGTGACAGTGTGTATACATGCGCGCACATTAAACGACCTTCAGCAGAATCAATGTGTTTCAAATCCCTGATGAGGAATCTCTTCCTCCAAGCCTGACTTCTCTGTCCTCCAGGCCCCAAACTCCAGAGGACTTGGGGCTTTGTGATACTGTCTCCTGCGCCTCTGATCTGATTTCTGTGTCCCTTTCAGCAACTGAACTCGGAGCAGAGGTCACTGGTCCTTTGTGAGACGCTTATTGAGACTGTGTATGGCGAGCGGGGACAAGTCCTGAAGTCAAAGGAGAGAAAGGTCTTCCTCTTTGATGATGTGCTCATCTGTGCCAACATAAATGTCAAGTAAGTCCCTCAAGTTGATCAGCATTAGCTGAAGAGTGCTTGGCCAATGCAGTTATAATCAGAGGTGTATGAAGTACTAATTAAAAGTAAAAAAAAAAAAACCTTAACAGTAAGTGGCTTTGGTAAAAATTTATTTCACTTCAAAGTACTTAAGTAAAAGTCATAATACTACTCACAATAATTGGGAAAGTAAAAAGTACTTTAAACTCCTTTCATGATGAGTTCCGGTTATCTTTAGATTTGTACTGTGCAACAAGGTGTTACATTTTAAAGTAAAGAAGTAAAAATAGAGTTTTTATGTTTTTGTTGTAACAACTTATTTACTTACATACTTAGTACAGTTACAGATATCCATAAAAGTTACATAAGTACTCCAACAAAGTACATGTACTTTGCTAGTATACACTTTTTGTTATAATATTTAGAACTCAAACTTAAAGGGGCAATATTATGGGTTTCTCAGGCATACATTTAAATACTATACAATAATAAAGTATCTATGTCACCTTTAGCTGTTATTAAAATGCTGTTTTTATGTTTAAAGAGAAAATAAACTTATCTGAATTAAACATCTGAAAATACATTTCCTCAAAGGTATTTTGAATCTGAAAAGAGCTTCCTTGACTGAGAACTAATGTTAGGAGCTCCGCAGACAGTTTAAGTTTCACTTTCACTTTCACCCTAGAGCCTGCAGGAGTCATGGGCGGGGTGTGTGGGG